TAGCAGATCTATACAGGTGGAGCTGGGGAAGGTGGAGGGTTTCTAAAGCACACTGCAACTGCTACAGCAAGCACTAGCCAAGTATTTGAATGTTGAGCAGCAAGCTCATTGGCTGCTGATACGAAAAGAACCAATCAGCTGCACCATGTGATGATGTCATTATGTCAGATTGAGTTAGACCTATTGGACTGCACCATCTAGAGTTTCATGTCAGGATTTTGTTAATATGTCATACTTGTGTGTTGATTCAGCCAATGAAACATTAAAAATGCATATTTAACAAAATGACTGACAAAAATGTTTTGGGGTTTCGTTGTTCATCAATGACAATGTTGGGTTATTATAGTTAACTAACTAACTAAATGTTATTTGAAATAAAATCAACATTAATTGAAACAAAACATGTAAAAAGTATTTCATTTCAGCTTGTTGCCAAAAAAAAAAAACATTTCTCATATTCATTTAATTTAACTTGATCTACTAAAATCACTAAAAATAAAACTGAAATAAAAACTATTATAAAAAGGAAATATACTATGTATAAATATATAGAGATGTTAAAAAACTAAACTAAAATTACAAAAACAACAAAATTACTAGAACTATTTACTATAATTACTAAAATAAAAAAAATATATAACTATTAATAAAATCTATAATAGCATTCCAATTATATTAATATCTAACTTTAAGCTTTTTGTAATTTTATAATTAACAATTTTTTGTCAAATAAATAAATAAAAAACTATAAATATGACAAAGAAAAAACTTGTTCCCGTGAAACCCATTCATACAAAACAATTACGAATTGTGATTCATTGTAACATTTTATGCAAGAATGCGTCTTGAACAGAAGCCAGCATGAACAAAGAAATGCGTCCTGTTCGTAGTAACCGATTACATGTAATCTGGATTATGTAATCATATTCCAAAAATTATGTACTTGTAATTAGATTAAATTACACTTTATAATACTCATAATCATACTGCAGTTGCTTTTTTATTGATTACATGATTATCACACAATAGCAATACATTATTTATAATTTACTGATTCTCCATAATTCTTTTTCATCTTTTAAATGTTCTGTGCATACCATTCATTAAAAAAAAAGAATTTCGATTCATTGCAACAGTTTACGCAAGAATGCTTCTTGAACAAAGAAGCCAGCATGAACAAAGAAATTTGTTCTGCTTGTGTTTTTATGAATGAAGCCCATTGAACGCTTGTACTTCCAGTCACTTCCGAGGCCTCATTTTCATTTATGTCAAATTAAACATTGTCCACTGTGGCTGAGCTCTCTTACTGCTTATAATTTACTATTCACCTTCATTCCTTTCTCCTGAAGATGCATTACGAATAGTAATTGACTCTAGGCCGCCCCTCCCCACGAATATCTCCAGTGGAGATTTGTGATGGAGAACCACCGGTAACGGCACAGATTTATTCTAGGACTGTTTAATCTATGTCTGTGAAACCAAGCCTTGGTTTACTGATTTCACAGTGGGGAGTTATACAACATAGGCCTTCATTTATTTACTATGCTTCAGAGAAAAAACAATATAGGGTAAAAGAAGACAACAGATGATGTCAAAACATAATTTAGCTGATCTTTTACTGGAACGTGATTGAGCATTACATGATCATCATTCCATAAATGTCACCTAAAAGCCTTGGGACAGCTGTGTATGATTTCAGTCCTTGGTGAGAGAAAATCATATTCAAATTAGCCTGATGAAAAATCTAACTGTGGCTTAAATTAATGCATCAAAAGGATGAAGGCTTTTTAACTTTTTCTTTTTGATACAGCAATGTTACACTTTGATTTAGGAACACTGCCAGTATTGGGAAGTACAGCCAGAAACATACTCTATGCAAGTATTTAAATGCAGGCACGAATGCCTGGCCAACAAACTGAATGTGTGCATAACCCCAGAACTTAAGGGGGCGATAGAGTTATCAACGTGTTATAATTCAGATAGCTAGCTAATCATGTAGATGGTTTAACTAACTTAAGCAAACATGCTCAGCCAGATTCTCTGCAAACTGTTGCTTTGTCCTAATAGTAGTCGATCTGTAATCAAAGAATAAAATATATACGCTAGCTATAGCGCCCCTTGTGGCAATGCAAGAAACGCACACACAGCTGCACAAACTTTTTTTGTGTGTGCCAGAACACAATATAAATTTGCGTAAATATTAAGTTTGCGTAGCAAGGAAAACGCGCATTCACATATTTGCGTATGTTTCAGGCACTACTTGTTGCAGCGCTTTCTTTTTATTGGTTGATGAGATCCCTGCTACAGGAAGTGCAGCTAAGCTTATTATTGATTTGTAGTTTGGAAGTTTTAACCAGAATAAAATATGAAATCGAGTTTGTGTAGCAAGGAACGTTTGCGTTCACCTACTTGCATAGATTCGGTTTCTGGCAATGCTTGTTGCAGCTATGCTTTGTTTTTATTGTTCAAAGAGATCCCTGCTACAGGAAGTGCAGCTAAGTTTGTTCTTGATTTGTTGTTTGGATGTTTTAATCAGAACACAATATTAAATCAAGTTTGCTGCGCAGACCAGAGTTGGGTAGTAACTGATTATGTAATCTGATTACGTAATCCGATTACAAAAATTAAGTAATTGTAATTAGATTAAATTACATTTTAAAATTTTTATTGTAACATTATTACAATTTATAATTTAATAATTTAAAAAACAGTCATTAGTCAGGTGGCTACACAGCATTTGACCACTCGATTTACAAAAATCATTTCAGGTTTAAGAAGTGTTTCAACATTGCATATCAAAAATACAACTAATGGTACAAGATTATTTGATTTAAATCAATGTGATAAGCGACTTGAAGTAATCTAAAAGTAGTCTGTCAACTACAATTTTTGTCATGTAATTTGGAATCAGCAACAAACTACAGTTTGTAAGTAATCTACCCAGCTCTGGTGCAGACTATGTTTCGGCCATTACTTGTTGCAGTTACCGTTTGTTTTTCATTGGTTGATGAGATCCCTGCTACAGTAAGTGCAGCTAAGCTTGTTCTTGATTTGTTGTTTAAATGTTTTAATCAGAACACACTATGAAATCAAGTTTGCGTTTGTGTTAACATATTCTTCATCACTTTTAGGACACTGCAACAGTCTTCATTTTTTTATTCTTTTTGTGCAAGACAAGAGTGAACTGTGTTTTCAAGAAGACGTATTTGCAGCAATGGAGCTCAGAGCGGTCTGTATCCGTCCGTCTGGCTCTTGTCCTGAGGCCAAACTCTGGCAAAGGCCCAGAGACCTATTAGCAGGCCAGTTCTGAAGAGAGCTTTGTGTATCACAAGAGATTTATTTGGAGCCAAGGAAATGCCAACAACCGTGTGTATTTGTGCGTGTATGTGTTTTGTCACTCCAGGACCCAGAGTTGTCCGAAGCAGGGAAAAAAATCCCACAAAAATCATCTCATCAGTAGCTGACACACTGTTTACTAATCATTGTGACATCTACATCGGGCCTCTCCAAGAGATTGTGCCATGTTTAGACAATTGCACTCGCTCTAGGGATAAACAGAGCTAGCTGTAGAATTGAACAGCGTAATATATCCAGATCATTAATACATAAGATGCACGACTCGTCGCATTTAACAAGCCATTTGCTAGGAAACATCAAGTCGCATAGTGATACATTCTGTAGGTTTCTAATCTGGGCTTTTGGATTGTAAGCTAAAGGTCTGTGTGAAAGATTGTGAGAACAATCTAATACAGAGGAAAAAACAAACCCAATAGCGACAAAAATCTCAAGACGCATCCACCAAATCTAATAAGTCAACAGCAGGGACAACAGGAACAAAAAGATTCGCTCACCTTGCCTATGATGCTGCCGACCTCCTGTGAAAAGAGAAACAAAGCAAATGTCAGCTTATTGATTACCAAGCTCACTCCCCGCTCAGCCGTCTGTGGGTTTTGATGAGGTAGGCTGGGTCTGGAGTGTCTGTGCACTTGGGGATCACGTGGAACCATATTAGATCAGGGCCCTACAGGCTCTGGAAGCAATTGGTAGCTTTTAAATGTCCCATCTTGGGTTTAAAGTCAACACAAAATGGTGTTCATAACCCATTTGATTTATGTGACCAAGAAGTACAATATTTCAGGACAAAACTTGGTTTTATCCATCGGGATTTGATTGGATTGCGAAAGTTACTATACACTCTTAAAAACAAAGATTCTTTATTGGCATCAGTGGTTCCATTAAGAACCTTTAACACCATTTCCATTCCATTCATGGAAAAAGGTTCTTCAATGTTCTTCACTCTAAGAAAAAGTGGTTCTGTTCTCAGAAAGGTTCACTGGGGAACCAAAAATGGTTCTTCTATGGCTGGGGTCCTCAACTCTGAACCTCGAGATCCTAGCTACTAAACACACCTACCTGCAACTTTGTAGCAATCCTGAAGACCTTGGTTAGCTTGTTTAGGTGTGTTTGATTAGGGTTGGAGCTAAACTCTGCAGGGAAGTGGATCTTAAGGTCCAGAGTTGAGGACCCCTGTTCTATGGCATCACTTTAAAAAACCCATTTTGAAACCTTTATTTTTAAGAGTGTATGGTAGTTTGTTGTGAAGCCATTTTAAAGGTGGAGCATGTTGGATCATTTCTAATCACATTTCATTTTAATTAGATATTAAACAGCAAAGCGTTTTTCTTCTTTAGAGTAACATACACTGATTAACCGATTACAATAAGACCAAAAATGTGTGTTGATTTCATGTTGACTTTAAAGTATGCTTGACAAATGGGCATTAAAATCACATTCATTACTTGTGAAACTGCAATGCACTTTCTTGTAATGTTTGTCAAGTGGCTCAACACACTCTATTGCCAATTTGTTACTATTGTAAGTTTTGGCGAATTGGTGGCTAATTTAAATTAATTTGTACTCATTTGTACGTTTTCGTACGACTGGGTGTAAACAGATTTTACGAAAGTGTACAAATTAGATCATACTAACTGACGATTAGGTTTAGAGGTGGACTTTCATGCTTGATTTTTTTTTTTTTTAAATCGTACATTCCAATACGAATCATGCTGTACGAATATGCAAACCGTCAACTTTGTTTTCTCGCAGGTGGCGGTTGATTTGTGAAATGTGGTAACTCTGGCTAGAGTGCAGGAAAAAGTCTGAAGGATGATGTAATGTACCACTTATGGTACTATGACTTCATGTACCAAAGTTTCTCGAAAAGTTTTCAGCAAGGATTTGAGTTTTAAACTGCCAAAAATCAAAGGCATCACTTAAGTCTTGAATGATCTCTGCGTTTATCTTCATTGGAAGATCAGATCACAATCTGTTAAGAATTAAGGTAAATTGGCACATAAATCATATAAATGTGGTGGTTTATTATCGGTTCATTATGTTTTCATTGGTTTTTCATGACTGTTTTTAATGACTCATTCCTTTTTAGTAATATGCAAATGAGAAATATCATGGAGTTCTAGGCATGTGGGTGGAAATCTGTCACTGGCAGCTGGCTGACAGTTAAACGAACATGTTGACACTGTAATGACATGGCAATGAAATCCACAACCATTTGTTTACTAAGAACTTTAGAGAATTCAAGCAGATTCAAAACATTTAGGAAATGTAAAATACATCAAAGAATCAAGTTGGAAATAATCGTGGCATGATTCTCACAGTTTTTTTTTACTAAATTAACACAAGAATGATATTTATCACATTAAAGATATTAATATTTAATCAATTTACAGTATATCCAACAGTATATTAAAACTCAGCAATAAACAGCAATATTTATTTTTTTACTGTACAAAAGTAATTTTAAACACATAGAAACCAGTGTCTAGTTCAATGATTCAAATAACTTTTGTTCAAATCAAATGTCAAAATAGAGGTGAAATAATGTTCCATCATATTTAGCATAACATATATATGGTATATATTTATGTAAAAATGAAACAACATACTTATTCTGAGCTGTACGCATTAAAATATATAGAAGAAAAGTGATCATACTAAATTGTATTTTTAAATGATTAAAAACGTCTTGCTGACAAATGGGTAAAACCGAGAGTTTTGAAAGATAGTGGCAAAAATTGGTGAAGATTTTAAATTACAATAAATTTGTATTTTTGGTGTCTGCACTGTGGTCCTTAAATAGAGTCTTTTAATGCCATGTAATGATTTGTGTTATAAATATGCCTGACAAGGTTTTTTTTTTAATATGAACTATTGTTACAATACATTACATTTTAGTGTAATTCATGGTAAAATATATGGCGGTCATTATTTTGGTTCAGAAAAATAAATAAATACATGAATGAATGAATGAATGAATGAATAGGACACATTCTAATGTATGCAAAACTTTGTTTTGATAAACTTTGACAAAAATAAAATAAAATAAATAATGAATAAAATAAAATGGGAACTTCAGTGAACATTTCTGAATAATGATGGAAACATAATGAATGAATGAATCATTATTTTAATCCAATTTATCAAAATAACGCATACAAAATCACACTTCTCAATACTATCTGCATGCTGAAGTTAAATCAGAGATTATGTTAAAACATCTCTGTATTAATGTGTTGTGACACACAAAACTAGCCTACATTGCTAACAAAATACCATTGAGCATAAGGTAAATATTAAACATAATCATCCAGCTTCAGTTTTCATAAGAAGTTTCAAAATGTAAACATCGGGCTGCTTCTCTCAGGGTTGTCTTGCACCGAAAACACTGAATGTTTGTGGTGTAAGTGTGTGCGTTTACCTTGCCGTGCATGAGCAGCCGGAGAGTTAGAGTGACGTTCATGCCTCCATCTCCAAAATCCTGCTCACAGTTCATCCTGACGTGGGATTCGGGCCCAGGGAGACGCATGAAAGATGCTCTTCGGATGATGGAATGGGCAGATAAATTTGTATTTTTGGTGTCTGCACTGTGGTCCTTAAATAGAGTCTTTTAATGCCATGTAATGATTTGTGTTATAAATATGCCTGACAAGGTTTTTTTTTTAATATGAACTATTGTTACAATACATTACATTTTAGTGTAATTCATGGTAAAATATATGGCGGTCATTATTTTGGTTCAGAAAAATAAATAAATACATGAATGAATGAATGAATGAATAGGACACATTCTAATGTATGCAAAACTTTGTTTTGATAAACTTTGACAAAAATAAAATAAAATAAATAATGAATAAAATAAAATGGGAACTTCAGTGAACATTTCTGAATAATGATGGAAACATAATGAACAGCTGAATCATTATTTTAATCCAATTTATCAAAATAACGCATACAAAATCACACTTCTCAATACTATCTGCATGCTGAAGTTAAATCAGAGATTATGTTAAAACATCTCTGTATTAATGTGTTGTGACACACAAAACTAGCCTACATTGCTAACAAAATACCATTGAGCATAAGGTAAATATTAAACATAATCATCCAGCTTCAGTTTTCATAAGAAGTTTCAAAATGTAAACATCGGGCTGCTTCTCTCAGGGTTGTCTTGCACCGAAAACACTGAATGTTTGTGGTGTAAGTGTGTGCGTTTACCTTGCCGTGCATGAGCAGCCGGAGAGTTAGAGTGACGTTCATGCCTCCATCTCCAAAATCCTGCTCACAGTTCATCCTGACGTGGGATTCGGGCCCAGGGAGACGCATGAAAGATGCTCTTCGGATGATGGAATGGGCAGGGAGGGGGGGAAGGCAGGATCTCTCCTTCCACTCACCGCTCTGGAACGACAACACGCAAAACATACGTCAATATTTTAACACTGGAACAAAATTATGCTTTCAAAATGTTGCAGAAAAGCCAACTACAGTTGATGTCATAAGTTTACATCCCCTTTTAGAATCTGCAAAGTGTTCATTATTTTAACAAAATAAGAGGGATCATACAAAATGCATGTTATTTTTTTTATTTAGTACTGACCTGAATAAGAGGTCAAATGCTCACTGATGGTCCAGAAGGAAAAACCCATGCATTAAGAGAAAACTTTTGAACTGAATGGAGATGTGTACATTTTTCTTATTTGGCCTAAATATCATATATATATTTATATATTTTTTCATTTAGTACTGTCCTTCAGAGGCTACAGAAGATACTTACATGTTTCCCAGAAGACAAAATAAGTAAAATTTACCCTGATCTTTTACCCTTAATGCATGGTTTTTCCTTCTGGAGCATCAGTGAGCATTTGAACCTTCTGTAATAGTTGCGTATGAATCCCTCAGTTGTCCTCAGACTGAAAAGATGGATCTCAAAATCATACAGTCA